TGGTTAGTGCTCTAGAAGCCCCTGTCTTGTATTAATCTCTTTTCTTTCCGAGTCTACTTGACTTCTTTTTTTTTCTTTATGCTGTTCTGTTCGGAAAGACCTGTAAGTGGTTTTGGCATATCTTATGCAATCGATTGATTCTATCAGGTCCATTCTTCGGTAGTGCATAGGCTCCGGCTTCTTCCTCTAGCCGAGCCACTACTTGCGTGTGTGTAATTCATGGCAGTTTTTTATTATGGAGCTATTCTCTTTCTTGGATTTTCTTATAGTAGAGAGCGGTAAGTTAGTGCTGTTCTAAGGAAGTGGTAGCTGTTCCAGTACACAAACAAGGTGGGTTGGGGTTTAGGAGGTATTTTGAGCGCATGCTTGTTGCTTTAATAGAGAAAGGGCTTGGCATTTCACTCTTTGTTTCGGGGTTGTCACGGATTGGCCGGCCATACGGATAAGGAAGTCCAAGGAGTTTTTTCTTTTTGGAGGTTTCAAATCACATTAGCCATTCCATTCCTTCCGGATAACCTAAAACATGCAGGCCTACCTAAGAAAGAATAGAAAGGGTACTTTCTGATTTGAAAAAAGGGTTATATTACGATGTATACGATGAGATAAGAAGAATAAAACTGGCTCTTCTCTTGAGCCTATTTTGTTTGATTGATCTTGCCACTTAGAACTGGTAGGTAGGTCTGTCTTTCTCTGGATCCCGCTGAGCTGAAAGACATGAGACATAGATATAAAATCGTTTAGATCCGGACCGGGCTCTCGAAAGCTCATGTGACCGGAGGTGGGAAGATATGGGCTGGAAAAGCATGTTAATAATCACCGCAGGCCCTTATGCCCTGAGTTCTCAGCTTCTCCCCAGAAGTGGAACTAACTGGAGGGTCGGTATGCGAAGAGGGGTCTCCCTTGTAACAGGAGTGAAGAATGACCCGACCCGGCCACAAGAAGACAGGCAGAGTGGCGGGGCAATGGTACCAGACGTTAAGGAGAGAGAAGTGAGTTGGTCTCGACGAGAGCCCAGGCGAGTCTCGTGTGTGAGAGTCTGACCGGGATTAAGGATATAGTTCCCTTCCTGGTCTGGGTTAGGGTTCCAAACCTGCCATATCCCCTAAAGCCCCAGAGCTCGAGGTCTACTTCTACCTAAATACATACAGCTTGCCTTACCACCATTTCAGAGCCAAGCCTCCCTTTCTGATAGAGGGGAGTGAGAAAGATATTTTTTTTTCGGATCGCCTAATTCAATAGCTCAAAAATAGGTGGAGTTCGCCCTTTGAAGCACATAGTTAAGTGTTGCAACAGGGGGGGTTGTTCAGCGAACGGGAAGCAAACAAAGTCTCCATACCAACATTGAAGGCTTCGCAGCTATCCGGAAGAGAGCCTTACTCTATAGGGGTGCTAACGCTTTACTAATATAATATCAAGTAAGGGCTCTTCTTCTGTTCTACGAATCTAACTAATCTATACTACTACTAACTATAGTCAGACTAGGTCTTCTAGAGGGAACTAGCATAGTATGGTTTATATATTTTGTGCTACTAGAACCACAAGCCGCACTATACTTGCCTGAACCTCCTAAACGAAGTACGCTTTGGCGAGCGAGAAGCAGCCGGGTATAGGAGAAGGGGCGGTTGGCTTAGTAAAGATAGTAAATAGTTCAACTTGGTGGATAGTTCCTCGGCTCGGTTGAGTAATGTAGTTCGCTCGGCTCGCAGCGGGCTTGTTCTAGTGGAAAGAGATTTCTCTCTGGGAAAAACACATAAGATTTGTTCGCTAGAGCTTCATCACTGAATAATGGTGGCTTGACTTTTTGGAGAACTTCTTCGCGTGGGCGGCGTACGTACAAGGTAGTTTACTTGCTTACTTTAAAGAGGGAGGGGGTGTTAGAAATAAGCCACCGCCCGACGACGGTTTACAACACAGAGCGACCCGGGACATCGAGCGAAGAGCTCCAATGCGCGTATTCGGAGCTACGCGGATGCCGTAGTCGCAGAAGCCGGATCAACATCATGACAACGGCATTCTGGAAACTGTTAGGCCAGCCACAATTGGTCTAATGTCTGGGTGCGTATGGCGGTACACTGAGAGCACCTTTCAAGTCGGCTGACAAAGAAAAAAGGGTTTCGTCGTCTTTTTCCCGCTTTCACCTGCGATTGCGAAGGGATTTGAGGCCGGTTTTCAATTCGCTTCTCTCTCTCCGGCGAGGTTTGACTTCGCGTGGTGGGAAGGCCTTCGCTATTCGCATCTTCCCGTCCAGCAAAGAAAGTGAAGGGGAGCGGACAGCAAGTTGGAGGACGCTGCGGAACCGCGTAATTGATCCATCTGCGCTATTCCCTAATTGAAGCAAGTTAGAAAGCCTTCAGAGCCTCAGCCCCTACCATTTTTTGAATAAAATGAAAGCTGACTAGCAATCGCTCGTTTTTCTTATTAGCATGGGATTGGATGTTAATAATGAAAGACAGAACATCTATTAGAAGGCAATCCCCGGGGAATTCCTATCGATTTCCGATGGATAACAATCCATATTTCTCGCTCTCGCTCTTTCTCCCAATCAATCGCGAGGGTTCCGGGCATGAGAACGCAAGTTCCGGAATCGAACAAAACGTCCGAGGACGAAAGAAAAAATGCTCCGCGGGGAACTCGTTTCATGTCGGCGTATTCGTGCCGGTTAGACGTCGGCCATGAAATCCATCACTATACCGAGCAGATCCCGGGCATTCACATCTCGGTCAAACGGAACTATGCGCGGTTCTCTCGTGAATCGCCTTCAGCAAGGTATGGCATTCAGGGTCTGAACCCGGGGAGAAATCTTTCTTCATAGATACAAGACATTCGTTGCTGATCTAAAAAAGATCTTATCCTGTGGGCGTTAGCGGACGTTTTTCATTCTTCAACCGGTCCTTAGTAGCGTTTCCAAAGTCAACCTAACCGGTTACTTTTGTGGAGACGCGCTAAAACAGGCCTATAGGTTCGCCTTTCTAATAGAAGAAGAGTAGATAATTAGATATAATAAGTATATATAATTAGCCAGATCATCTGAAGCATGAACAGAATCACCTTTGTTCCGAAGGCCTAGCGAGTTAAGCGAGTTCCTTTTTTTTTTCAAGGAGGTCTTTTTCTTTCCCCGGACCGATGACTCGCTTGTTCAGTACTGCTAAAACTATTATAGGAGTATGCCGTCCCCTCGGGACTACCAGTAGTTTTGGTTGTTGAATCTCGTGCAAGTTAGGTTGTGGTTGTATTGGCTGCAAGCGGAACGTAGGCGCTTTAGGTGTGTGTTGACCATGCACTCTCGCGTCATGTAATGTCGTATGTATGATAGAGGTGGTGTGGTGATTGATCTCAATGCTAATGGTTATCCCCAAGGTTCAACGAATGAATGGGGCTATGATTGTACCCGGATAGAGATGACGGTCTTCCTCTGATGTCTCCAAGCCGGCCATAATAGAATAGATAGGCGAAGCAGCCAATAGCAGTCTGTTCTCGCCTATCGATAGATAGTAGGTTGCTTCCAAGCTCAAACCATTTGAAACTGAATTGCTACTTTATTCTTGTTATTGATAGAGTGGTATTCTCCGCCCTAAAGTAGAGGGAGAGAACTGGAAGAGAGAAGGGAAAAGAGCACACAAAGGTTTACAAGTCTAATGGGAGAAGAATGGCTGACACGTTGACTGCCTTCGAGACTATAAAATATAACCCAAGTGGTCTAACCCCCCGGGGCGGACCCCAACCGAAAGGCGCTAGACGGACTAACGGCAAGCGAGATAAAGAAAGCAGCTGGCCCTATGGAACGGAACTGGTTGCTTATTTACTTTTAGTAAGACCACTTTGGTAAGCAAAATTAGATTATATAGGCATGGTTGCTTACAAGACAAAAGATCTGTTCTTTGCCTGAACATATAGAGGAAACAACCTTCTATCTGGCCTCTGTACCAGTAGTGGAGTGGCTTGCTACTTTCAATCAGAAAAGGAAAATTGAGCAAGGCAAGGGAGAAAGAAGTTGTCCCCTCTTCTCTGGTAACCCGCCACCGCATATGTAGAAAAAGAGGGAGCAGGGAAGGAGGAACAACCGTTTGACTTTGGCACATGAGGTGGCGGGTTTGGCTAGGTAACATAATGGAAATGTATTGGACTGCAAATCCTGGAATGACGGTTCGACCCCGTCCTTGGCCTCGGGGAGTGGCGAGCAGCACGGAACTTTAATTAATCAAATGGCATAACATAAGGGGGCTTTCCTTTGTTAGAAATCCACAGACAACATTCTGGAACTTCCAAACCAAAGAAATGCAACATGAGAAGGAGCTTTTTACGCTTCAATAGAATGAATTCGGTAAGGGTAGAATACGCCCTATGGTCGATCGAAGGTCCTGCGCCACTTGAACTCAAATCTATCTTATCTTCAATCCATCTTTGTCTAGCCAGCTCATAACAAAATGTTAGACCAATCTCAGGGCTGACACAACCGAATTGGTTGAGGAAACCCCAGCGACCAAGCACTCCCGCCCCCAAAAGCGGAGACCGAAGAGCCGCCAGGTTGCCGAGGACACGTCTGAAGAGGAGGCGGGCGCCCTCTAAGTTTACCACCCTACCCGCTAATGGACTACGGGGGGGGCGGGCGAACGGGAACCGACCGAGAACCCGAACCGCTTGACTGACTGACCCCTTCATACTCGATTCATTAGGGTCGGGGATGGATGGAACCCATCAGAAGTGCAAATCGCGCAAGCGAAGCCGGGAAACGGACCGCACCGCAACGACCAGGACTCGTGTCGGAGGAGTTTTGAGCGTGAGCTACCACTCATGCAGCGGCAAGGACCCGCAACTCTCGAGGGGGCCACCAACCGCCCGAATAACTCCTTTACTCAATGGATAGCGCTTATCCTCTTTCAATCAACAAAATGAGAAATGGGGGGAGAAAGAAAGAGAGAAAGAGGTCTTTATTGAAGAGGCTTTGCACCTGAAATAGGCCTAATGAAGATCCAGAAGAATGGGTCTGGGCTTTCGAAAAGATGAAGATGCAAAGGGTAAAGAGAAAAAGTCTTTTGAACAACCAACCTGACATAAGGATTATAGCTCGCCCACTTAGAGCAGATGGTGATTCTCGGACGGGGAAAAGCGGCACTCGAAATCTATTAAACAACACCAAGAACAAAGCCATACCATGCCCTCGGGATAAACTAGTGATGATTGCCATGAATGCTGCCCTCGAGGATGTGTACAAGAGGGTCTTTGCCGATTCCTATCAACATGGTGCACCTCTCAAGGGTGAGACTTTGACCGAATGAATGGGGATCAATTGATAGACATTTTGATTGAGGAAGAGAATCCAATCCAGGATGAATGCTTTTTTCGTTCGCTATGTGCTGACTAGATGCGTACTCGCGCGATCGATCGATGCACGGGGGAATTGCGTGAATGACGAGACCGGCCTAACCTAAAGTAAAGGCTCTTCCCTCTCTTCATGGCGAATCTTGATTGACTGACACTAGGAGCCGACTCGGAGAAACAAGAAGCATGGCATGAGATTCGCGGCGGAATTAATTCCGATAGCGAATTACTTGATTCGATGGATGGAGGGAGAGCCCTCCAACTCAAGCACAAAATCAATGTTGAATCAACAATCATCGAGAGCGAGAGGGGCACCACCAAGCGAGATCGAGACCCAGCACCTTGCATAGGTTGGAGCCCCTTGTATAGGGTTCCAAACCTGCGCTTCTTCAAATATCCCATAAATAAAGGTAGGGGCAAGACTAACAAGCGAGAAACTTGACTTGGAGAAAGAAAGGGGCGCGCTAGCTTACTAATAATATAGGGCTTTTTCAGCTTGATCGGAATCGATTCTATGATTGAATAGCAGAAGTGCTACTAAGTAGTAGAAACTCGGAGAGACAGACAGAGAGGGGACTCTATCATACCCGCTAACTCCTAGGATGAGAAGTAGGTCCCTTGTTTTTGGCAGGAATAGTTCCAGCCTTTGTTGCCCCTCGGTAGAGTGAGTCTACTTAGCGAAACTGGCAGGACGCGGAGATCGATTGATCAATACGAATCTCGAGAGTGGATGGTTGCCCGCCGCCCCCTTGTCCTGGAGGCTCCCGGCCGGGGAGGAGCTTGCTATCGTAACCCTTTCTCCCGGTGTATGTGAAAAAGAGTGACGAACCCATTTTTTTTTCGGTCATAGGTTGGTCCAAAGAACGAGAGTCGGCTTCCTTAAGTCCGTTGTTCCTCAGTAGCTCAGTGGTAGAGCGGTCGGCTGTTAACTGACTGGTCGTAGGTTCAAATCCTACTTGGGGAGAATTTCTAGTTTTAGCTTTTATGACCCAGCGACCCCTGTCCTTCTCCTTAGTTTCTAAACTAGCGGAATCGTGGGACATCAAAAGCGGTAAGTTGATTGTTGGTTTTTATTCCTCACTCTCGTATAGGTGAACTTGGTTCGTTCAATTCTTAGGGAGAAGAAGGATCCACTGGGAATGAATGGGAAGATTGGAGTAGCCTCTTCATTAGCCGGAAGGAATTTCTCTCCACTAGCGTCATTCGAAGAACGAACAAAAAAAGGTTACTGTTTAGGTAGGATGGATGGATGTAGTCCAATGGCTAAAGCTCTGCCAGCTTCTTGTAGACTGAACTCTCTTCTCTTTAGGCTCAGAGTTGTTTTGGGGTAGGATGGTAGGATTATTCTTCGCCACTAGTGGCAACGAAGTTCTTGGTAATTAACAAGGGGGAAGGAAGATCTCCACTCATTTCATTCAGTGCTTGCGGTGAGGCGCGACCCACAACAAACAAAGGGGAAAAGCTTGCTTGCTGTAGCCCTATTTTAGTAGACTAGGCTTGGTAAGCGTAAGCTATTTAAGTAGGCTCGAGAAGGGTAGGCTCGCAGCTTCGCTCAGCGGAAGAGCCTTACTATTATATTAGTAAAGCGCTAGCGCCCAACCTATGGGCTTTGAAGGGATAGGGGAAGGGAAGAAAACACAAGGATGGTCGCTCCTTTTAGGAACATGGCTCGTTCATTCACTTGCTCATGAACTCGCAGCTTCGCCAGAAGCGACGAAGGGGGGAAGCTGTCTACGAAGCTTTGCCCCTTGCTTTACAGAGATTGTTATGAACTGACTAAATGACCAGATTCTCCCGGAACGCTAGCTAAGCTAATAAATAGTACTAGTTTCCTTCAATCAAATCAATAAGCTTTTTTTTTGATTCAGGGCGCCGCCCCTTCTTAGAACCCATTGAGGGGGCCTCAGCCGGGAAGGGGAGAGTGGCCGAGCGGTCAAAAGCGACAGACTGTAAATCTGTTGAAGTTTTTCTACGTAGGTTCGAATCCTGCCTCTCCCACTTGTTGTAGACTTCAGAGAAGAGAAAGGGGGCATTCGCCAGCGTAGGGGGGCCCGCCGAGCGACGCTCTTTCTTTTTTTTGGCCGTGCCGTGAAGTGAAATTGTATCGTATGTTAGTTAGAGAGGTTGGCGAACTACTACGATCTATAGATTCCCCATCTATATTCAATCCCAACGAGAATAGAAGCGAGTCGCTTCCGGCTTGGCTTGTAGTCGTAGTCTTTTAGCTTATGTAGTGGTCGGCCTTCCTACACGCACGCGCCCGCCGGAATGCCTCCTTGGTTCTGGACGAAGCCAAGCCGATACATATGATAGGCGAAGGAAAGACCCCCCCATTTCATAGCGCCTGGGGAACGCAAGTTTGATCGAGGATTGGAGAGGAGAGGTGGAAGAAAAGGCTCGGGATGGATTTAGGAGTCTTTGTGCGAGCCGTATGCGGTGAGAGTCGCACGTACGGTAACGAGGGGGGTTCGCGTCTATACGTGTAGTGTGGTGGTTGGGCCTACCCACCCTATTTGTTCCATGATCTATGGGTCTACTGGAGCTACCCACTTCGATCAATTAGCCAAAATTTTGACTGGATATGAAATCACTGGTGCTCGATCTAGTGGTATTTTTATGGGGATTCTATCTATCGCTGTAGGATTCCTATTCAAGATCACTGCAGTTCCTTTTCGGGCGGCTGTAGGACGGACGGCCGCCTATAGGTGGTAGGGTAGGGTGGGTGGTACCGCTCAGATTGCGGCCAATCTTCCTAACCGCGCGCGGGCCGGGCTTAGAGCGCGTGAAACTCATCACTACCTCGTAAGGGCGTTGAGACCATAGCATGTTACACGAAAGCGCCGCTTTCTCTGGAGTGTTGTCGCACAGCTGCCCGCCTAGAAGAGCCACTCGCTCTGTAGTGTTGTCACACAAGATAAGCACGCCGCCCGCCTGCTGGCCGGGCGAATCGAAGTTATCTTCCGGTCAACTGTCCACCCAGTCAAGTGCAAAAAACACAGTAGAATCACGCAACGCACGCTGCTGGTGTGCTTCCTGCCCGCGAGGAAAGAAAGAAGAGCAACAAGGTTTAGTTCAGATTTGACTGTTTGCAGCATGGGAGCGGATTACCCAAAAGATCCCTGGGAACAATGAAAAAAAAAGATATCTCGGTAACGAAAACTATAGGGGGCTGTATTGGCGAGATCCAACGGTGAACAGCTGCCCAAAAGAAAAACCGCCTGGAAGTCCGAGGACCTTTAGTACCGTACCCTACCCCCGAACCAGCAGCCTTCGCGCCCAAGCAAGACCGCCCTTGTCCCCTTCCTTTCTCCATTCCGCCCCCTTCTTTCTTTGTTCCCAATAGAGTCTAAGGCAAAGCAAAAGTGATTCGTATGCCTACTTTACCTACTTGAACGAAAGGGAACGAACTTTGTTTCGTTTCCGGGCTTATGGATTGGATTCAGTCAGCGTCACGACATAATCAAGAAGGAGTGACACTTTGGTTACCGGCGAGCGCTTCCAAAGGCGACCCTCTCGAGTTTCCGGCTGTTTCCTAGATTGAAGTAGCCTTTCGTCACCCTACCAAACGAAAGAAGTCACTATCAAACAGCCCCCCCAACTAGTCGTATGGGGTGCTTGTGGTAAGCTGCCTTGGATATGAGGAATTCCTAAAAAAAGGCAAAGTCCGGTATTTGACGAAGATCTTTCTATCAATAGATAGGATTTAGTGTTCGATATAGGGGATAGGATCCATCTGCTCTCTCTCAAAAAATGGAGAGAGGGCAGATATAACGATATAAAAAAAATCGGGAGATGCTAAAGGATGCATAGACATCTAAGGGGATGTCTATTCTATTCCTCTTTTTTTCTCTAAAAAAAAGATATCTCGTTCATCTATCTTTTGTTTATCTATCATTGATTCTATCTATGAATCAAGTCGAAAGACTTCGCTTTTGGGTTCCCCGAAGCCCCGAATGGATTGGATCGTTTCTGCCAACGAAATGAACGCGGAGCCCGTTCCGAATGCTTCTCCGACCCGGAAGTTCTCGCGAAGAGAATAAGATGCTGTCCCCCCCCCCCCCCCCCCCCCTCTCTTTCTCGCTTTGCTAATCTTCCCCTCTAACGCGGGGCCGGGCGCGGGAGTAAGAAACCTAAGAGAGGACGCTCTTCTCTTAGGTCCTTTTTTTTCAGTGCAACACAGGAAAGCGCCCTCTTTTTGTTTTGTCAAACCTGCAGCTTTCCAGATTTTGTATTGAACGCATGGCGTAGCTAGGACCTTCAAATCATGTTTGAGCCTATGTTCAAACCGCCCTATTTTTTATATTTTTTTTTTACTAAGGCGGAATGCCCGCCAAGTTCAGATAAGGGAATGCTTTCCCCAACCATTAAAGGAAAGGCTCGACGAAGGGAGGGGGAAGGAAAACGCTTTCGGAGATAGAGATTTTATTTGTTTTTCATCGAAAACGAAGAAGGCCGAGGATGGCCTACGGTGCGTATTATCTGAGGGGAACACGCTTTTTCGACCCGCGGTAGTATGATTGCCGGGCCCTCTCCTCGTTCCGCCCGCTGGCCTATTGGGATAGCAGCCTTCGGGCTTTGCCTGCCCTTAAAAAAAAATTCCGGCTCGGCCCGGGAAAGCGCTGGCAACAACAGAAAGGAAGGGGGTCCATGTAGCTGCTGCGCCCGCCCCCTTCTTAGTCAATGGGGCAGCAGGTTCGGCATCTACTAGAAAAGAGAGAATCCGCTTCAGATAACCACTCCTCTGCTAGGCAGCGTGTCGAATGGCCGAGAGCGGACCTTTTTGGATATATAATCCAAGTCGAGAGTGGAGTTACGGGAACAGCCGTCTGATGGAAAACTACTTTCACGTTCGGTTCAGAGAGCACTTTTTTCGTTGAGAATTCCTCGTTCCCTTTCGTGTAAATTCCCCTGCAACGAATTAAAAACTTGCGGGGCCCTCCTATCTATTTATTCCCTCTCTCGAGCCCCGAAGAAAACCCCCTCCCCTTCGGACTCCACATCTCTTTTGACTCTATATATGTGGGCACCTGATATCTATGAGGGTTCACCCACCCGGTTACAGCATTCCTTTCTATTGCGCCTAAAATTTCTATTTCTGCAAATATTTCACGTGTTTCTATTTATGGTTCCTATGGAGCTACATTGCAACAAATCTTCTTTTTCTGCAGCATTGCTTCTATGATCTTAGGAGCACTGGCCGCCATGGCCCAAACGAAAGTAAAAAGACCTCTAGCTCATAGTTCAATTGGACATGTAGGTTATATTCGTACCGGTTTATCATGTGGAACCATAGAAGGAATTCAATCACTACTAATTGGTATCTTTATTTATGCATTAATGACGATAGATGCATTCGCCATAGTTTTAGCATTACGGCAAACCCCGTGTCAAATATATAGCGGATTTGGGCGCTCTAGCCAAAACGAATCCTATTTCGGCTATTACCTTCTCTATTACTATGTTCTCATACGCAGGAATACCCCCGTTAGCCGGCTTTTGTAGCAAATTCTATTTGTTCTTCGCCGCTTTGGGTTGTGGGGCTTACTTCCTAGCCCCAGTGGGAGTAGTGACTAGCGTTATAGGTCGTTGGGCGGCCGGAAGGTTGCCACGAGTAAGTCAGTTTGGGGGACCGAAGGCAGTTCTCCGTGCACCGGACACGTAGCTTATCGAAATCCAGTTGCGACACGGATGGGAATGCATGCTACGAAAGATAGAGTCGAGTCTGATACATCAGCCGTCTACTCAATATCCTTGTATGAGTCCACAATCACTACACGAGATGAACCTTGGTTTGGTGAATTGAAGTTGACCTTAGGTGTAATAGGGACTCCCAGTTACTGTGCGCGATCGTATACTGAGGTGCTCCCCGCCGGTTGTTGGAACGACGCGAGCCGGGCCGGGCCTCGATTCAGAAAGATGAAGGGCCAAAAGGTACAGTATAAATGGGGGGTTACAAATTCTCCATCTCATTGGGGGCGGAAAACGAATAGACATCTCGATGTGATACAGCCTTTTCTATTTTAGTTGGTAAAGAACGGCGAAGTCCATCCGAACCGTCCAATGAAGAATAAAGAGGAGAGCGAAGCGCCAATGGCACGCGAAGCGCATGCGGAACGGGCACGGAGAAAAAAAAGTGTGGAGGAGAAGCAGCCCGAGCTCATTCCCTTCGCTTCCTGGGCCCAAAGCAGTGCAGTCTTTCCTGGCCAAATCAAGGATTTGGGGCTTCTTGCTACGCTACTTAACTATATAAAAAATAAATTTTTTGTTTTAGTAATATATATGAATAGAAAGATAGATCCATCCATCTATCCTATCTGATTTCGATTTTGATATCTAAAAAAGAATCGATTTCATTCAACGTTTGATTCAAAGAACTGCGCTTAGCCCCCCCGCTCATGAAACGGCTCTGCTGCAATGGATGGCAGAGGGTCCGTAGTACCCAAAGCGCTGGAGTGATCCAGTAGCCGGGAAGGGGCCTAGAAGTGCCTACTACTATACCACACTACACTTGGCTCTACACATTTACAGAGCTAACCCCTGCCCAGTCCCTGGCAGAGCTAAGGGGGCTTCAATCCTTATTCCTTATCCCCATCTTCGCCCAGGCTAGCGGGGCCTTACTTATTCAGGGGGGAGAGTAGAGCCTCGAGAAGCACTGTTGAGAGAGGAAGAACCTTGGCTCCTTTTCATTCTCTACAGGGTTCCAACCCTTTCTTCAACATAGGTGACAACGAGCGGGGCAGAGATGGAAGAGATCGAACACGGGAATAAGAAGCAAGCTCGCTGTCCTTTTTTTGATAGAGGGGGATGGAGAAAGTGGACAAAACAGACTCGCATTTCCCAGTCGGGTTCCTTTTTCGTCTCGCATTTGTCATAGAACAAATACGGAAAAAGAATCATATTGAAAACGTTCCTAACCCACCAACCCCTTCCTTCGTAGAGCCGTGCATTGTAAGTGATCCGAACCCGCCCGGAGCGAGCCTCCCATAGAGGCAAGTGAAGTTAGTGAGCCGTATGATGGGCAACTATCTCCTGCGGTTCGGAGAGGACTCAGCTGTTAGTTAGAACCCCCTTGGTTTCGGGGTGGACCCTTTCACTCTATTTTATTATATACGCTTAGCGAAAAGAATGTTTTTTGATACGCCTAGGACATGGATTCTATATGAACCAATGGATCGTGACAAGTCGTTACTACTAGCAATGACTTCCTCTTTCATTACTTCATCCTTTCCATATCCCTCTCCCTTGTTCTCAGTTACTCATCAAATGGCACTCAGTTCATATCTTTAAGTTCGATCATTGACAAGGTTCAAAGAAAGGGTGGCCATTGAAAAATAGTCGATTCCAAACCCCAATGCATCACCTGAAATTGCTAGTGTAATATAGTATTCGACAACATAACTTCTTCAAATCTACGTTTACGGCTACGTTTTTTCAGATGGAGGGCCGCCCTACTTATGAAATACGTACTTCAGTCCACTGCTAGAAATATCAAATATCGAAGTTAGTTGGTGGAAACGCCGGGAGAGGATCTGGATCCAAATCCACCATGAGGGCGGTTCTCTTCTTTCTTCTGGATGTTTTTTGGTTTCAGCACCTATTAAAAAACACGGGAAAATCCACTTTTTTTTACGTAAGGATTCTTTGTTCATTTTCTTGATCTCCACACTTACTGGAACCCTATTCCTATAAAAAATCCCGGGAAAACAAGCTTTTTTCAAGGTTTTTTGGTCGTCGTAAAGGGAATTGAGGATTTCATCCATTTTTACCGGGAAAACGGAATTATTTGAAGAAGTTTCTGTCTCCCCTTAAAAACCCCATTCTTCTCCTTTTTAGGTTGCTTCAGAAGCTCAAAATATGTACTGATATCCGGCGTGAAGAGCGGGTACACAATTGGGTTGTAAACTCCATTTTTTTTCGTGCTTAAACGAGCTCTCAGTCCGTTTTCGGAGATGAGGAGAAAGCCTTTTTTCGTCTTGAGATTCTAATCGATGAGTAGAAATGGTTCTAAATAGTACGAATACTACCATACACATAGAATACAGGCGGTACGAAGTACACCTCTCGGTCCGTAGAGTAACTGTAGCTGCTTCAACCACCTTAGAGTCCACCTACGTGGGAGACAGAAGGATTCTACAAACAAGGGTTTACAAACGGGAAGGCAACGAAAGCCTTTTCGCGATTCGCCGACAATGATAGAGTTTAAGGGGGCATGGACCTTATAAGTCCTGGTCTTTAAGCTTTAATGGGCCCTCAGGGAGAGAAGGGTGCTCGTAGATCAGAGTAAGCTAAGTTCCGGTAAGCAACCCCTTTTTAGAGCTAAAGAGTTAAGGCATTAGGCTTATACTTAGGATCGTGAGAACCAGTCATAGTCTTTATTATTTGTTTGTGCGTTCATCTCTCCATCTAAGAAATGGTCTCTTCCACGAAAGTGCTTGAAGGAGAAATAAAGATAAGCTCTCCGTAGGGTCCCCCGGGATATGGGACGCGTGTCTAGTTCTCATTGGAAAGGAATCAGCTGAATATTTCTTCTGTCTCCCGCCTGACACAGTTTGACACGCGGTGATACCTGATTGGCTCCAAATCTATAGTTGTAGAAATAATAGCATTCAAACAAGCACGCGGGAAAAAGCAAGCGTCTGATCAGATCCATCTGCGAGGTAGGCCAAACATCTTTTTCCTAAGCGAGGACGGAGCTGGCGAGTGACGATTGCCCTATCTCTTAAAGGGGGTTTGGAACCCGGGGGTACTCTCTGACAGAATTGACGCTTCGCGTGGGCGCTCTATTATTGCCTCCTATTCCTGAGGGGGTGATCGGGGTTGCGTGGCGATACCCGCGAAAAAAAAAGGACTATTCGCTCTTTGGGGAGGGCCTTTCGTACTCAAGGGAGAATTATTGAGCGCACTAAAATCTAGTGGATGGGTTCAATATTCATGAAAAGCCAGGTTTGAAATGATCCATGTTACGGAACCAAGACAACCTATCTTACTAATAAAAAAAGGGTTAAGGGCCTCCAACGCCTATAAATAGAAGCTTCTTTCGGTCTCTCTTTGGCAAAGGGAACTTAGAAGTCGGCAAGAAAGAGCTTTGAGTAGCCATGGATATCGCTAGCAGACTTGCGATAATTGAGCAACAAATACGTCAGGTGGAAAACCAGAAGCTCCAACGGGAGCAAACGCTGGGGTGCGTTCTGGGAACATCTGCCTGCTATCGATCCAATTATCATACGAGATCGTATGCTTTTTCTCCAGAACGAAATACGCACTCTCGAAAACAGGAAGAGGGCGCTGCTCCAAGAACGGGAGGGGCTCCTTGTGGAGGTTGCCATCCTCCGTGACCCACCCACTGGGGAGACTGGAAGAAATTAACAAGTGCTTAGCTCAGTTTCCAGCACTGTTCATTATTATGTTTAATTAAGTTCTATGTCTTTTGTTAACTTAATCTTAATATGTTGTTAGTTAACTTTGTAATGTTGTGTGGCTGAAAGTTGTCCATGTGTAAGCTTTCTATTGGATGTACTCCTATGTATAAAAACTGTAGTGCTGGAATGAAGAAGAATAAAAATCTGCTCTGTTCTAGTCGTGCAGAAAAATTTCTGATTTGAATTATTTAGACGATTCTATTGATTTCTTCTCGGTGCGGGTCTATCCCTAGGACTCCTTCTCGTGAACTAGGGTCAAATAAATAGATGGATCGCCCTTTCCCTGTCCTGGAAGTTGATCCCCGTTGCCCAAAGCGTTCTAAGAGTCAAGTAAATGGTGGGACCTCCTTCCGGGAACTCCGATTAACTTATCTTATTGAGCCCCTCTCCTTTCAGTCGAGCTACTTCTCCCCTCTCCTAGGGTTGGTTTTCTCATCTGACCTGAGTTAAGTAGCTCTCTTGTTCTTGGCTGCTAGACGAGGAGCTGGGTAGAGAGATAATAGATCCTCCCCCTAGGATGGTAGCTTCTATTCCTTGATTGCCCTGTAAGTTAAATAAGGGATTCTAATGCTTCTTGAAGCGGCATAAACTACTATATAGAATCTTGAGTGCCTTCCCTTCGGAAACCAACTAAGGCAACTCCGATTGAATGCAGAATCCCGCTAGCCATTAAGTAGGTTTAGTCAGTTCACTAGGAAGAAGTAAACCACTCACCCCCAACTTTATAATGGGCCGGTGGAAGACAGAAACGTCTATTTTCCAAGAAGCAAGTGAGCAAATTCCCAGTTGTTACAAAAGAGAGCTAAACAAGTCAATGCGCATCGTGGAACTATACTATATGTTCCTCGGCCGGATCAAGCAGCGGGGTTGCTTCAGAAGCAAGTAAAGGCTCAAGGCAAGCTCAGGTCACCAGAAAGTGGGCATCAGAAATAGGCCTTTTTTATATTTCTAAGCTGATCGAGACCCACTCTTCTCAATAAATGCCACTATCAATAAAAAGGGTTATTCAAATGTATTTCCCGCCCATTGCACTGATCAGAACCGTACTTAACTTACCAATCAGAATGCCGTGGTGGAACCGCAGGGACTGCAAGGTGAAAGCATGACTTTGATTCAACTGATCGGTCGGTCTACGCCCTTCGTGGAGCATGCAGTTCTCCCGAAAAAGACTTGTTAGAGAAGAGGGGGCTATTTCGTATCAAGGTTTGGAAGAGATATGTACTAGAAGCGACTCCTTGGCATAAGAGCACTAAGTGAGTTACTCCCTAATCTTCTGATCAATCCCACAACGGAACCTTCTAACTCCTCCTATCTTGTAGCTGCTTTTGCCATTGGTGCAGATCTGATTGAAGTAGGTGAATCAAAGGATATCTCAGACAGGCAAAGTCATTCTATGAGCACTTGTGCCACTTTTATAAGGCTTGCTAAGACGCCCCAACATGCAATCTCCAAGTCGTGGAATAAAGCTTTCTCTATAGACTTGTGCCGTCTGGGGATGGATCTAGTATTCCAGTAGCTGAGACTGAGGAAAGGTTAGCCAAGAGATTGTACGATTCTTCGACTCCCATCAACTCCCATTTGACTCCTAACGCGGAAAGAAAAAAGATAAGACACACATTTGGTTCTGAAGTAGTGAACTATGTTTGTGCAGAAAAGCGTTTCGTTGTTTTTGGCTGAAAGGCCAATTCATTCTTTTTCCAGTTTCGTTACACATAAGGCATAAGGAATAAAGCTACTATAGGAATAGGAATAGGGATAAGGGTTAACCAGCGGGAGAGGAAAGAAATGCCCTTGTTTCTATCCGACCTAAAGGTTGGGCATCCCCAAGACAAGAGAAATATCAGTCGGTGAGGTTCGGATCGATCGGATCAACGGGAGCGAAAGCTGCTCGGAGAGAAAAAGAAAGTATGGCGTCTTTGGTCTTCTATGGAAGTCTTGGCTGAATCACTTGATCCAGTTAATCAAGAATCTTCTGACGAATAAGAATTGGAATTCACATCTGAGCAGTAAGGGAGGGGAAAAAGTAGTAGGATTCAGAGAAAAACCAACGGCGGAAAACCGCTCCCCTTTCAGTCGAGCAAGTAGATTCAGCGATTATTGCTATTCTTTAACGCCCCCCGAAGATTCATTAACATTAAGTAGCGTACGCCTGGTTCACCGCTAAATACACGAAAGAAGAACGGCTCCCCCGTTTGATGACTAAGGGGAAGGTAGTTTACTTGCACTTATGCTTGAGTAAGGCTCCGAAGGAGAGGCTCAAAAGGCTCCGAAGGAGAAGTAGGATTCTAGACGGACAGGAAAAGCATAAAGTATGAGGTTAAGATAGATTAGTCAAACTGCTCTAAAGTTATAAAAGAAAAGGTCCCAGTTCTCCTTTTTTTAGTAGATGGCTCGCCCGGTTGACTGCAATAGCAGCTGTTGCCGAAAGTGCTTATGCTTACTAAGATGGGTCACTTAGCGGTAAAAGTAGGAATGATTCCGTGGATCAAGGACTTTTTCCGCTGTCTACTAGGACGGAATTGGGGTTTTTAACACAGTTATAGTTGCTGCCAGAAGGTGCTATGCTATTACTAAAGCGGGGCACCCGCGATGTGGAGGTAAGACTGATTTCTGTTCCCCCGGGCTTCTTTCCCCAGTGCCAGATCTTGTTCTTTCACCTGTGCCCATGGAATTCTTTCTACTGTTCACTGATTGATCGAAATCCGGAAGCCAATTCTAAGTGCCGGTTTAGTTGAAGGATCCCGCGTACCATCAAGTGCAGATTGAGTGCCATATCCCATTTTCGTTTGTTGCCTATATCAGGATCGAGAGTAAGGGGACGGGGTTGATTCGGAACCTACTGATCCTCTGAAGAGCCAATTGTAGTTGATCCACCTGAGGCAGTAGTTTAAGGCAGTTTCAGTCGATCCAGCCGCAACGGAAAGACCCACTAGGTAAGGGCTTACTACAAAAGAAAGGTAGTTTACTTGCTTACTTTAAAGAGTAAGGCTTTCCTTGAGTTTTCAATAACTAAAGCGCTAACGAGCAAGAAAACGGATGCGCGTTAGCGCAACGGCTTTCGCGCAGCTCAATCCCTTGCTTGTTGCTTTCGAGCCGGAGCTTTCTGGGTAGTGCAGTGGTCCGTGAAGGTTAAATCACACTTGTGTTAAGCAAGCAGAGTAGTCAAGCCAGAGAGGCAAAAAAAAGCAAGAAGCGGTTTTCGTTCGATCGACGGAATCCATCGTACTTTCACTGCTGTGGACCGGCTTTCATAAAGCACCCTTGGGCAGCAGCAACTATTGAGATCCAATTCCGAGATCAATTCGACAATGAAACTCTTCAAGCAATGATCTTCTCTATGTCATTTCTCTTGACGCGATACAAAAGACGACTTTCGAGAGTCACTTAGCCCCCTGACCTCTAAAGACGCTGTGTGGGCAAGTCGATCAAAGTAAGAGCAGGGAGGTAATATTTACAGTTGTTGTAGTACGACTTTTTATTTCCTGTTCGGTCTTTCAATAAGTAGTCAGTTGCAGGCTAAGAAGCCTCGTAGTCAGACTTAACATTGATTAAAGCAGCTGTTGGAGAGAAGGCACCAGTCAGACCGGTAGTACGCAGCGGCAGTTTTTAATCATACAATGTGTACTCGAAGTCTGACTTTTAGCGGTAGTCAGCTGTCCTCGTTCTCCTCTTTTCATTGCCCTATTGAGTAAGGGTCGGTGTTTGCAAAAATGTCGAGCCGACGGGGTCAGGTACCAGTAGTGACAATGGCAAAGGGGGGAGCTGGACACTAGTTGTGCTAGTGGAATGACCCAACTGGACCTAGTCAGCCCGAACCGTTTTGCGGTTCTAGAGGACCCTGAACAATAAGAGGCAAAGATGCCAGATCTGGACACTTCTGAACCGGAAGAGATTGCGCAGGATGAGTGTCTGGGTAACAAAGCCGAGAAGGGTGTAGTCAAGGGGATAACTCCCGAGGAGAGTGATTTGGCCCATAGAAGCGAGGATCTGGAAGAGAGGGTTGATACCGGGTCAACTATGACAGTGACTGAGGGGGACTTGTTCTGTGATAAACAAATGACTCAAAACAAGAACCCCAGGGCAGCCAATCGTAAGAAAAGAGGTGAACCTGAGAAGAGCAGTAAGAGTAAGCGTTCAGGTGCTGGTGCTATGACCTTAAAGGCGGAAGATCCTCCCCTGGTTCTAACCACCCTGAATGAAGAGTGGGCGAACAAAATGCAAAACATATCAGAGATGTAGAATTCTAAGAAAGAGGGGGGAAAGGGGAAAGTCAAGGCCAAAGAACAAAAGACAAATAAGGGCTACACAAGACGAAAACCAGAGGCAGCGCTAAGGCGCGAGGGGGATGTGAAAACAACAACAGTTCCACATGAAGGGTCCTTGGAATGGAAGAAGGATCGGTAAAGTCGAGAAGCAGAGAGAGGCCAAAGATTATATAAGAGCGCAAGAGGAAGATTTGATTGGCTTGGTGGAAACCAAAGTGAGGAGTGGAAAGGCGGCCAGAATTACCAGATGCTTAGGAAAGGATTGTAGTAAAGCCATTACTGTGGAGAATGAAGCCGGTAACGGCAGAATTTGGCTGATCTGGAATATGTACAAACATCTTATCAGGGAATGCGCATTGACTCATTCTATCTTGATAAAGAGATTTCGAATTCGACGAAATGAAGTACGGAGTGCCCGCTACTCGTTCATCATTCAGACAGATGCGCCTCTCTCCCAGTCGTCCGGGCTCATCGTTCAATCAATCATTCGTACGGGGAATAGAAAGTGGCCGGAGTGGCTTTTATGGGTAGAATGCTCCTCCCGATTCTCCTGATGTAGCTGGTTTTTCCGGCCGGTCGATCCGGCCACTTTGACTGCTGCCAAAACCTTCTTTAATGGGAGGATCTTCATCCCGACCACCAGATCCTTCTTCTTCTAAGTCTTACGCAGCTATAGTGGAAAAAAAACTCTCGTCTGTCACCTTTACAACATAGGCCCCTTCCCTTTTAAAAGCCCGATCTCTCATCAAGGAGAGCCGGGGTGTGTGCTTCACTTATGTTATGATGAGATTCACAGATCAGTAGATCCATTACGCTTTTCTTTGATAGCAAAGTTATCCTCAGGCCATCCTCTGTAGATGAGATTAGACCTCATGTTCGCACTCACTGGATGATGAACAGCGAAGTTCATATTGAATTACTCGATCCAAGACAGTTATTATGAGGTTATCATCACAAGAAGATTTCATTCAAGCTTGGACCAGGGAATCTCGTCATTAAGGCTTATTATTTCGTCTCCTTGGTTTGATCTGCGGTTTGAATCTTCTATTGCACCACTTTGATCTCTCTCCTAAACCTTCCCCTTAATTTCTTTAATCCAGACTACCTTAAATCTATTGCAGGGGTGATAGGTAGGGCTCTGAGATTCGATGGCCCAACGATAGGGTTGGTGTGGCCAGACCACTGCGCAAATATAACGCTCGCGTCTGCGTGGGAGATAGATCTCTTAAAGCCTAGGCCAAATCGGATCTGGTTAGGAATGGGTGCAGGAGGCAAATGGCGGAAAATCATCTACGAGAGAGTTCCTAAGTTTTGTTCCCACTGCATGCTTCGAGGCCGCGACAATTAAAGTTGCGGACATCTTCCTCAACCTATGGAAAAAAGAGAAAAAACCAAAAAAGGGTTCAAAAAGCCTTTCACAAAGACCCTTACACAATAGGGCAAGCCTAAAATGAGTAAGGCCAAACTCAAGGCCTCAGATTCTCACGAAAGCCATTGATAATCATCAGAACAACCAGATCGTTATTCAGCCCCTCAGATAAAGAGACGTCTACCCACCCAACTTTGGATCCCTCCCCAACGGCAATCAATGAAGTTGAATAAGCACTCCGGCAGAACAATTGTATTGAGATTTCGAGCACTGATTTGATCGTTCATGATCCTGCTCCATCTGCTCTCAATACATTGATTCATCAATCCACTCATGATGATATCAATGCTAGTAATCTTTCTTTACAGCAGTCCCCATTGCCATATCTCTGAGAACAATCATTCCGATTTCGTTCCAAAAGAAGAGACATTGGGCAGATCTCTTCGAAAAAATCCGATTCTGTTTATAGAAAATTAAAGAGATTTATTGCAGTTCTCTCTCTCTTAATCTTAAATGCATGCATAGAGAAGACTGGGTCCAAAGCATTGCAGGGAGCGCAGGAAGCTAAGGCTCCATGTTCGGTTCTGGTAAAGAGGGCGGGAGGTAGGCTTGGAAGGAAAGTTAGAGTGGGGCTTTTATAACCCACCACGGTTAGGGATGGAGTTCTCACCCCCGGGCAAGAATAGGAGGTCCTACACTCGCTCACAACCGCTTATTTAGTTGATATTGTTGGTTACGTCCCGTGGACTTCGATCAAAAGAGGAAGGACAATGCCCATCATATACCATTCGGGGATGTTAGTCAGGCCATTCCAGGAGACAGCAGCGGGCTGGGACTGAAGCTCGCTATGCCGCATTTTGAAATGAACGAGAAAGGTGGGGAGAAAGTCTTGAAAAATATTCTTTCCGGACGCGAGCCTCACCCAAGGGGGAAACTCCATTTTATGCTCGCTCTCTTCTGTCATGCGCATCATGGCCGGGTGAGTTGGCCCATTGCGAATTAACCTCAGTGCTTCCAATCAGGTCATGCACTTTTTAAGATGCGGAACCTGGGCTTCAAAATAGGGGAAATTTTTTAGTAGGGGGGGGTAAGGAAGGTGCCGAGGTCTTAATAGAAAGGGGTTGATAGTCCCGTCGGCTAGGCTTTTCCGAACTTCCCTTCGCCTTTCTGCCCGTGAAATCCTTTTCTTCCGCTTTTTCCCAACGAGATATCCCCATTCTTTAGTATTGAAGCATATATTAGTTCCAGAGAATCATCCGAACATTCTGAGATACGGTTGTCAAATGGGGGAAGAGGAACGAGAGGCGTCCCTAAGCCTTCCGGCTCACTAGTAGGTGACGAGGGGATTTCTAAAAAAGGGGTAATTTTTTCTGCCGATGCATTCGTTCGGATACATTCTTCCTTCTTTCACCTTTTCAACCCACCCATACTAAAAAAGCAAATTTGCCTTCCTGGTAATGAATTGAGCGGCAGCGAGGAGGTCCGGTTCCCATAGTGATTTCGTCTGCTTTTGGAACCTGGGGACAAAGAAAGTTACTTCGGAGTTTTGAATTCTCAGAACCTCCTTCGAATTACAGAACTGGAGGGGGTCTCACAGGCATCTCTCTTCGAGCGGCAGTGCAAGCTCGGATGGTGTTAGCGCTGGCAGAAGGTCTGGGATTAGTTTGTACCGGTGTAGGTTCCTGAGTAGTGACTTGTCCCCCTTGATGTTGTGGCATTGGATTAGTATAGATCCCCATATTACTAGCTTCAGTGACATTGGCGGCTTTCAGGTATGCCTTAACTTCGTTCCAATTGATACGATTTTAATCATTCATGTCATAGATGACATCACGCAAAGTGTGACACTCTTCGATGGTATGGCCCGCGTATCGGCGAAATGGACAGATTTTAAAATAGTCGAGACCGGGAGGCCAGGGGAGTGGTTTATCTCTGGGTAGAGAAATGGCTTTCCAGGCCCCCTGGATGGCTTGCTGATTCCGGGTGCTCTGTTGTCTCTGTGCATTCTGCTGTGCTTGAACCGCATTAATTTGATCCGGAGTGATGGTAACCTCTTGAGTTGGCTGCTGGGTTCTTAGGGTATTCTTCGGCCTGCCTTCTCCCCCATTAGAACTTTTCCTGAGGAAAGTGATAGACCCGTCTTTTATACTCCTCTGCATGCGGGCAGCTCGTTCAAACAGTTGAGGGAATGTTCGGAAATCTCCTAGCACCATCGCTTCCTTGATGGGCCCACGCAGGTTGATGTCGGCAAAAATCCTTGAATCTAAGTTTCCCCCCGTATTGGTCTGCTCTACTGCAGCTTGTATCATTGCCTCAATCTCCATCTTTCCGGGAGGCTTCCCCATGGGGACCACAGAGCGATCATAGTATAACTCTTCAATAGGAGATTCATAAGCGAATCGCTTTCGAATCTTTGGAATCGGTTAGCGCCTGTTGAAAAAGTCTTCGCCCCTTCCTGGAATTGAATTAACCCAGCTTGGTTAAGTACTCATATCTATATTCATACTTTGGGTGTAGGATCTACTGACCGGAGGGGGTTTTGTCTAATTCTCTGATCCCGGCTACTATTGTGAAATACCGAATCCATCGTCAGATGGCACACCTCTATAGAGAAATCTTTCTTTCGCAACTTGAAGCTATCTTTCCTAAAGACTCAGAGCGGGCTTGGAGTCGAAATTAAGGTTCATAAAAAGAATACAGCTTACCCGCGCGGTACTACTGGGGTTCTCCCTTCGTCCACGAGCAACGGTAATTTGCTTGAGAGAGCTAAGCGAAGCGGGCGAACAAAGGGCCTTTTTCTTTCGTTTATCCCCTTTACTAAAAAAGTGTTTTCTCTGCAACATGGGAAGATGTTTGCCCGGCAGTTGTAGATCCGGTGGGTGCCTTAGCTAAGTAAATTCCAAGAAGAGATTGATACAAAACTATAATAATAATAGGAGATGCCAATTTTCAAGATTTAATGGCTTTAGCCACCCCCCGCTGGTCCAGCTGCCCTTGCAAATCCGTATGAAACAAGTAAGTCAACTCATTCAATGGACGCGTATCCCGCCCTAATGAAGACCAAAGCTTTTTTAGGGTAGACAATAAGAAACTTTTTTGGTAAAGAGCCCTTTTGCGTTTCGCCGACAAAGGTAGTTTACTTGCTCGACCATAGGGAAAGGCATATTCTCTGCCAAAGCAGTTTTCTCGTTTCGCCGATAAACGAAGAAAGACACAAAAGAACAATGGTATTCATTTTGAAGTCTTTATAGGAAAGAGCGGATTCTCCTTGTATCCAGTACCTGGAAAGGAATTCTGTATGGCTCAGAGGTGCTTAAGGCTGGTCTGAGATGGAGACTTGGAGATGGTTGCAAGGTGAAATTCTGGACTTATATTTTGGTCTTAAGATTGCTTGGAAACTCAATATTCCTAGACTGATTGTGGAATCAGACTCTTCCCTAGTGGTAAATCTGATCCGAGGTCATTGGGAGGATACTCACCCTCTCCATGGTTTACTTTCTGAGTACAGGAGTCTGTTAAATGGGAATTGGGATTGCAGCCTTAATCATGTATACAGAGAATGTAATTGTGCAGCTGATAGGCTTGCCTATTTGGGTCATGGCTGGAATCTGGGCTTGCATGAGTTAGAGACCCCTCCTGAAGATGTTTTGATTAGTTTAGAAGAGGACAAGATGGGCCTGGCTAGGCCAAGAATGATTGTTAGCTAGTTTGTTTCTTTTTGTGATTCGCCGACATAGCAGTTAACGATTCGCCGACTCTTTTCTCGGTTCGCCGACAATGATAGGGGTTTTTCGATTCGCCGGCATTCCGCTATTCGCCGGTATAATGAAGACCCCAAATTCTTGTTTTTGATTCTCCAAAGTAAAATTAAATATGTAAGCGGATTGGTGTGGAACTAGATCCTCTGTTAGAGTTACAGTTGTTGTGTAGCCGGGTTCACCCCCAATGATACGAAGGGCTAGCTTTGCTACCCGAAAAGGCTACTTGCTTGCGGGACCCTTTCGTTTTCGAGTTTGCCCATACTTTTTGTTTGAACAGATATTATGTTAGTGTTCCGTCTTAGGTCGAAAAGAAAAAAGAATTGCGTAAATAACTCGTCAGAGTCACGATCTACTAAAAGGCAAGTAGCTTGATTGGTTCGAATCCAATTCGTGAGATGGTTTCTTTTCTTCTTTTTTTCCGGTATGCCGCTCCGCGAACAAGGAGCTAATGAACATAAATCCAACCTAGTATCATGAATATCCTTCGCCCGTTATCTCCTCATCTTCCTATTTATAAGCCACAGCTCACTTCGACGTTTCCAATTTCCCATAGAATCTCCGGGGCTTTCCTAGTCACTATAGTTTTGTTTTTTTATCTTCTTTGTCTGAAAATAGGTTTGATTTGCTTCACCTATGAGAATTTCTACCAATTCCTCTTTATTCATCAAAGCTCATCCCCATCTCCGTCGAGATTACTGCTTTAGCCCTGTCCTATCATCTGTATAATGGGGTTCGTCATTTATTGACGGATTTTTCGGGATTTATCTTTCTTAGAATTGGAAAAAGATTGAAATGACTGTTCAAAATTTCACCTATACCTTTGAGATTCAAATAATTTATATTTTCTTATGAAATGTTTAGTTTATTATTATAAGCGTTGATAGCTCTCTTCTTTAAGGCTTATTCCGTAGAAGCTAACATCAGGCTATTGGCGTTTTATCCGCATCTTCCCGACCAAGACCCGGAAGGGGTTCGCTTTGTTTGGGATGAACTCGCAAAGACTCGACCCTCGTAGAGTTGCGTCTTTTATAAGACTCGAGTTTCTCAGTGGAACTAAAAAAAGAGTTTGAGCTCTTTTGGCTTACTTTTAGCCACGCGGGGCGGCTATCCACATGTGTCCCAAGGTGACGTCCATTTTTTGGTAATGGGTATACTCGAGAGATAAGTTTGGAATTCGACCTCTCCGCGGGTCATGGACTCCTTTTTTGTTTAGGATCCCCTTTCTACATTCAATCATTTATTGAGCCTGGTGTGGAATCACCATCATTACACATTCATTGTTGGTCTGGCTGCTGGTCTAGCGATCCCTCCTAGCCGCCGCCGAGAGTGTGCTGCCTGCCTGTTGAAGACCTTAACGTAAGTAACTCAGTGCTCCATACGGGGGAAATGAAAGCAGAATTCGTTCGGATCCTCCCACATGTTCAATCTTTTTTTAGCGGTTTCCCCAGAGATCTTTATCATTAATGCAACCTTCATTTTGCTCATTCATGGAGTTGTATTTAGTACCTCTAAGAAATATGATTATCCACCGTTAGTCAGTAATGTGGGTTGGCTTGGATTACTTAGTGTTGCGCGCCTAGGAGGGCAGCGCGCTTTGGGATGCGGAGGAGCTATTATCGCCCAGCCCCCTAACCTAATGCGGCACCGGGTTCGGACCGCAGGGAACCGTAGCATGGGGGGGGGCGTCTAATCCTTTTGCCGCCGCAAGGCTGGCTAATCGTACGCAGCAGGCTTGAAGACCCCTGGTTCTGGAAGGCACATGAGTCCGAACGCTATGTTGAATGTGCGATCGACACTACACTACGTAGGTACCTGTGCAGGTGAGGCGTCGGTCGGTCCTAGAAACGGCGGCAGCGGCGCGAGGAGTTAACGACCGGACGTGCTGCAACCTAGGGATCACCAGGCAGCTCTTTCGCTCTATAGGGATCGGGGGGGCATAGCACAATTCTTCTTGGAGGAGGGTTGGTTTGCCCGGGTGACTGATCCTGCCATAATGTACTCCTACCTATAGCACCGGCAACCGAAGTCAAGCATATATACGGCGATCTTCATGCGTGAATAGCCGGGAGGAAAGAAAGGGCGGTAGATGATAATGATAAAGGGCGTCGCGTCCGGACGGGCGGGCGGAATGGATGCGCGAAAGGTGCCATGCCATGGAGTGAGGAATATCCCGAGTCTCATGTAAGACAACTAAATGCACCTCGAGGTGCTGCCGAGGAACTGGGGTCGAGCACAGGATAGGCAATAGAGCGAGCCTATTCGTTATGGGGAATTTTTGCTCCGGGCCGAATAGAGCTTACCTCCGGCACCTGGCTTTCTCCGGCGCATATTAGCTTAGCTGCGCTTAATAGGCCGGTTTGGCTTCCTCTCTGGCGGCTTCCTTACCTTACCCACGCTACACTCCCACTCCAAGCTACGCCTGCTGAGCAAGATGCATTGCGATTTCCTCTTCTGTGGACGCACCGGAATATGATCCGAGACGGGAAGAGAAAGACTTTTTTCTCCGGCGGGCTTTCTCTCGTAAAGCCAAAGATGCCCCAAAACAAGGTACAACTGTTGGGAAGGGGACATGATCAATAGAACCTGGCTGGATCCGGGCTGGGATAGTGGCGCCCATTCCTAACCAGTTTCGAAAAGGTTCGTTCATGCTGGAGGGAGCATCCCTACTTAGTAATCGGTCCGCTAGTTCACGCAAATCCGAAGAAGTTATCACGGACGAGCCACATGCAGGGAAACTTGCACGTGTGGTTCTGGCCGGGCTTTCCTGAGGTATCTAATAACCTTGCTTCTGCTCGCCGCTGGCGCACCTCTCCTAACTATTGCCCATTTATTCTGGAATAATCTTTTTAGGAGGGACAATTTTACATATTTCTGCCAAATCCTTCTATTATTAAGTACGGCTGGTACCATTTCGATGTGTTTCGATTCTTCCGAACAAGAGAGGTTTGATGCTTTTGAATTCATTGTATTAATTCCACTTCCTACTCGCAGTATGCTCTTTATGATCTCGGCTCATGATTCAATTGCCATGTATTTAGCTATTGAACCTCAAAGTTTATGTTTTTATGTGATCGCAGCATCAAAAAGAAAGTCTGAATTTTCCACGGAAGCCGGCTCGAAATATTTGATCTTAGGTGCATTTCCCTCTGGAATATTACTGTTTGGGTACGACCGGACAACTACCGATATCTAAAAATATCCTTTCTTAGAATGTTGTTGTTAAATATATATCTATCTATATCGTAAACTATCGGATCGGGTATTACTTAGATGTGAAACTTGCAGACCTCATTGGTTGTGATATTGATCTTACGGGGGGAACGAAATCAAAGAATATATAGACTCGTAGAGACCCTCTATGTAGTTGTCTATCTAGGGCGATCGATCTACATCTTTCCCCATAGCCCCGGGGCTGTGTTTCGATCTCCTACGTGCGAAATCTGAGGGACTAGTTCCTATGGAGATTCCCCTTGGTCTAATTCCACGCCTTATGACGAAAGGGGAGTCGGCGTGGCGTAAAGTGAAGATTGAGGGAAGTAGAGCAAAATTCCCTTTTGGGGTATTCCGAAGGTGTAACCTAGGCAACGAAAAAGGGGCCCGATACTTCAACTAGAGGAGCGACCAGTTGGTTCACCAAACCCCGACCCAGCGTCACACGTTCTCCAGGTCCAAAGGGATCCAGTGCCCAACTACCGACTCCTCCCGGAATTGCGTTATCGGAGCCGAGCCAGGAATGGCCGTTAGTGGACACCCACCACTTTTCACCGGTTAGAGAGGCCCTCTTTAATACATTAATAAAAGATGTTCACAGGGGCCAGAAAGACTCGGTCATAGGAACTTAGACCACCTACGCGCTGGTAAACGAAAACCACCTCGACCGGATCAGAGTAAACAACAATGTCGAATCAGGCCGCCCCTTGCCTTGAAAGAATTCACACGCGGCCACCTGCTTTCCCAAAAAAAAATAAGGGGAGATCTGCTGCTTACTGCTCACGAAAACATCCGACCTATACTATAGTCAAGTCGTCCGCGTATCTTTCCGATCTCCTTTCCTTCTATTTATCAGATTTTTGGCTTTGACTAATTCAAAGGTGAAAAATGGGGTTGGCTAAAAAGGGGGGAGAGAGGAGTGGGGTACGCTCACTTCTGCATTTTTGTTTTGGTTATCGAGATTATCAATCTTTTTAGTGGGGAGGAATAGTGCGGGAATGGCGGTTCTCAGACGAGGGAATCGCTCCTCTCTAAATCAAAATAGGCTAGAATGCTTCTATCGATAGAGCTTTCACGTCTGCGCATAGAATCGTTTTTTTGCCTTTCCATTTCGTTCTTACCATATCATGGGCAGTTGGATCGGAATCCGTGTGATGGTTCGAGAGCGGTTTCAAATATTCTTCGCATCCATCTTCGGCCTTGTGTTACCCGCGGGACTGAGTTAGTGGTCGAGTCGTTTTTGGTAATTGACACCCGTCGCATTAGTTTCAATTCATATGTTACCATTCATAGTGAAGTAGCCCTCTTTTTGATGTCTGAGTGCCTTATTCTATCTATCAAAGTCCTTCTTTGTCTATAGCTCGGGTCAGTCCCCCACGGTCTGCTTTGATTTTCTCGAACAGTGCCGGTCCGCATTAGGGACTCTCGTGCGAGCCATGCTGCGTTCCCAGGCAGGAACTGCTCCCTTCCTTGAGCTCTCCATTTAGTTCCTCCCCCAGGCGTTGATCTCGCAACGGCCCCCCACTCCAGCACGTCCTCATATCGCGTCCGCCACCACAGCTTCACATCCCCGGAGAGATACATTGTTGCCATTGTGACTTGGTAAAGGGGCACGAACAGCCTTAAAGTGCTGTTCCATATCCCAAAGGTCTTCGATCCTTAGCATCTCGGGTGCCAACGAATGCCTTTGGTTTCGCTTGATTCGCCGTCGAGCCACTGCTTACGGCCTTCTGTAGTATAGGGACCGCGCCCCTACTCTCTAAAGCTTGCCACCCCTATCTATTAGTAAAGCTCGAAGCACTTCCACGACCCCCCGTCCTTGGCCTTCCATCATGGTCCGCCTAACCAGCCCATCTTTCTCCAGAGAAGCAACCCGCTCGCTTGAAATCTGTCCCTTCAGTTGTGTAGCAAGGCGTCCACACGATTACGAGTCCGCTCCCGTCGAGCCTCTTCGACGGCACTAGCCTACGGGTTCTTCCCACTAGCCATGGCTTGGCCTAACCTTTGGCTCTGATACCACTTGTCACGGCGCTAAAAGTCCTTCAAGCCCACAAACCGCGGCACCCTGCTAACGGTCCGCTGTAGCAGAGTAAGCTGAAAAGCCCTATATATTCTATTAGTAAAGCCTAAACGTCCTTATTGAAAGCGCTAACGAGCAAGAAAACGGATGCGCTAACACGCAATGGCTTTCGCGCAGCTCAATCCCTTGCTTTGTTCTATAGTAAGGGGCCTTTTCTTGCGGTGCGCAGGAACGCCCAACCTATACAAGGGGGTTCCGCCTTCATTTGGTCGTGCTGCTATGATGTAACGTGCAGTCGTCCCGAGGCAGCAGGATTATGGTAAAGGGCCCCCTCTTTTCTCTCCCTTAAAGTCCTTTATAGATTTAGAGTCGGGAATAGAGCTGTGGCTTATTCGGCGCTATATCACAATTCATTAATTCTCGGGCATAGCTGTTCACGAAACGTGGCATGGGACATCTGTCGGCGGCGGGAGTCTTACATCTGAGCGAGGGGTCAGACCAATCCCATTCATCCTGGTCCGATCCGAACGGATCTTGTTGAATGAATTGATCCATTGTTGTATGCCCTACTTCTTATTAGTTTCTTTTTTCCTACTCGGACCCGCCGTACTTCCTTTGACTACTCCTGAGATATAGTGGAAACTTTTTGTTATGGTGGAGAGTGGGGAGTGAAAACACCAATGCCGCAGAGAACGACCGCATGAATCGGAATCCACTTATATTAAGACAGACGACCGAGAAAAAAGGCTTCACGTTCTCCAAGTGGTTGATCTTAGCGTGCTAGCCGCTGCTTCATTTCGTATAGTGATAACGCTTTCTCTTTCTTAACGCTCCGCCCCCCTTGTATAGTAAGGGGAACTCTGGTTGCGCGGCTTTCTCTTATATGGGTCTATTTTCTCTGACTTGACTCAGCTTGACCTACTTGACTCAGCGGTTAGAGTATCGCTTTCATACGGCGAGAGTCATTGGTTCAAATCCAATAGTAGGTAAAACCGGCCGAAACCCCCTGCTTTTGCCAGCATGACAGCAAGCACGGACTGGCAGCAAGGAGTCAACTGAATGACCAAAGCATCGGTTGCTTCCACTTGTGGCCTTCTTCGACCGCCTTGCTTAGCGCAAGCACCAAGCAAGTAACCCCCCCCTCTCTTCTTCTCTTCATGTATGTGGGCTGCCTGCCCGTCCCGAATAGACGAACAGGAACAAGCTGAAGAAAGGCGCGAGAGAGAGAGTGGAGTGATCTCAAAGAGTTTTCTATTTTCATATTTTAAACTTTACTTATACTTATTTATATTTTATATTATATATAATAGTTTTTCGAATCAAACTATATGTCTTTCTCATTTGCTGCCACTCAACAACAGCAGGTCTCAGCTCTACACATTCCTAGAAATTTTGTCTTTCTTTCAGTTAAAGATTGTTATCATCTGGTATGAGAGCCCAGCTTGTGCGGATATGGTAGCGATACAATCTTCTGGATCTATAGTTGCTGATATGATTACTGCATTAACGCATACGATTGTCAAGCATCGCAAAATGGAACCTCTAAACGTAGATGTTTGGAAGATGAGAATGCAGTTGCTTCTCAAAGAACAGGATCTTTTTTTTTCATTCTTGAGAAAAGAGAAGCCCGCAGATCTGGCGCTAATGGCTTCTTCAATCAAGTTGATGTTGTTGTAGCCAAACAACAAAAGAAAGCATATGAACAGCATCCATAGTTGTAGACAGTAAAAAAAGTTATTCTTCGAAGCTGTGCTAATGGTGGTCAAGGATAAGGTACTAGTTTCAGTGGGAGACATTGAGTCTGCATGAGAAATCCGGGAGACTCCACAGAGAATGTATGAGTCAGTGACAATGGTAAACATGAAGTTTCTTCGGCAACGGTTTTTTCCAAGCAAGATGCAAGAGGGGACGAGCGTGTCTCAGCACTTAGACAAGATGGAGAAGATTAAAAAAGAATTTGTAGCAGTGAGAGTAAAAATGACTGATCGTGATCAGTGACCGGGAAGTCTGCTGAAGTCGTTTGAGTCTTTGACAACCACTCTCTCCCGTGAAACTCCTCCTTTAACTATGATTGATCTGACCATTTTCTTTAGGCAGAAGCTGAAAAGAAATTTGAACAGCAGTCTGAAAAGACTAATGCTGCGCAAAAGAATATGTTTCAAAAGAAGAAAAAGCACAAAGTGAGCGCGGAAGGACCTGAAAAACATAGAGTGGTCCTGCAAGAAGAAAGGTCACTTGAGTTTTGAGTTCCCATAAAAGAAGGGCAAAGGGAAAAAGCCATGATGATCAGGAAAAGGTAGTGTTGGTCACTACTATGGCCCTGTTTGCCAACATTTCAGATAGTTGGTGGATCGGGTCCTCACATCATATTTTCTTCCGAAAGGTAGTTTACTTGCTTACTTGTTAGAGTAAGGGGCTGCTTCTTAGCGCTCCAGGAAATTAGATTCCGACCAAGAACAAAAGCCCGAGGTAGAGCGTCGGTCGTCAGGGCAGCCTGCCTTTATTTATTTATTTTTTCGGATAACGCGGCACCTGGAGATATAGGCGTAGCGCAGGGCAGGATGGACGAGATAAGAATTAAAAAGTATACCTTGTTTGGGTTAGGGGGAGTCCAGAGGTGGAGCGAGATACCTCCATGCCGAGAAAGTAATGCGGCGGATGAAAGAGACAAATTGGTTGCCAAGCTACCTTGATGAAATCAAATAAAAGAGAAGAATCATTCCCGGTGAGAATGTTGTCGTCAACGTGTATAAAAGAAGGATGAGGCAACGACCGTGACGTCGGCGAACAAACATGGAAGAATCCGCACGGCTACAGTGGTAAAAATGAAGCAGTGAGAAACGAGCTAAATTTATGAAACCAGGCCCCTTCTTAGCTCTTGGTGCCTGCTTTAGCTTGTCGGGGGCCGTAACGTAAATCGCTTTCTTGAGCTTGCATACCATACCAAGCCTAGGAGAAGAGAAGCCTGGAGTTGGAGGAGGCTGAATAGAAACTTATTCTTCGACTCAATATTCTTGAAGGTAGTTTACTTGCTTAGTGTGAAGCGCTAAGGATACATCGAGTCTCTTGGATTTCACGGCATAGCATCTATACCTGGACTGAGCATATCCAAGAAAGACACAAGGGGTTGACTTACTCTAACAAGTAAGCAAGTAAACTACCTTGGGGACAATTTTTCTCTTAACTGCGCAGGCAAAACACGTGCATCCAAACACTCGCGCCTATAGGATGGTGCTGCCCCAGTAAGAAGTTCGTGAGGTGCCGCTGCATCTTATTCCCCCCCCCCAAAAAAAAAGGGGGGGGGAATAAGATGCCCCGTCCCTTCTTTATGCACATTCATATACATAGCCAGACACAAAGGTGTACAATCCGGTCAAAATCTGTGGTCCTTTAAGTGCATTCACTGCAGGTTCTCTTACTTGCTCTAGTGGCTGGCAAACGCCAACCGAGAGGGGAGAACGAATGGCTCAGGAATCGACTGGTTCCGAGCGGACTCGCGGAGCTGCTGCTTGGATTATCGTAGAATAAGAGGAGCCGTCTTAGGAAATGACTTAACTTAAAAGACAGACGCCGCCGCTGCGAGGCGAGGGAGTCGCTTGTCTGGTCTTGCGGTGCACTCACTCCCGTTACGAGAATGAAATCACGCCCCACCCAGCTCGAGACCAAGACTCCTTACAACTCGCACCAATAGCAGCACTGAGCGGCCGGAGATTGATTGAAAGGGCAGCCCAGCCCCTTCCCTTTCATTTTATTATTGTGATCAAGAGCACACACTGGACCTGACCCACTAATCATCATCTCATCTGGCGCGAAGCAAAAAAGGGAGGGCCCTTCCTTCCCAGCCCAACCCCCCCCCCTAGCCGCCTACCTACTCATGCTCGTAGCTCGATCGGAAGTCAAGAGTGTGGTCCGGCGGAAAAACAGAAGTCGTCCGTATCAAGTGATACGTGAATTGCTCAGTAGTGCTTCGCCACTACCGTAGCTGGCGGAAATAGCTTAATGGTAGAGCATAGCCTTGCCAAGGCTGAGGTTGAGGGTTCAAGTCCCTCCTTCCGCTCCTGGCTTCGTCATTTAGTGGTAACGAGTGGAGTGCATAAGCCCCTTTAGAGATAGGGGCGAGCAGCAAGCAGCCCCTTGTATAGGGTTCCAAACCTATCTTACTAATAATAAGAAAGGGGCAAGCCAAAACCTACTCCTAACAAGTTGCTGGCTTTTCAGCCGTTGCGCGCTAGCGTTTTACCTTACTAGTAAAGGGGCTGCAGGTTGTAGCGCGCAGTGTGCTAGTGAATAGGAAAAGCGGATTGAGATTACTAATGACGGATGGAGACACCGAAGGTGATAGAACATGTTCGGTGCCTCGCTCTTGTCTCCTTCGCCGGAGACTGCAAATGATGGGAATCCTATCGATAAAGAAGAGGCATAGGCATCGCCTCTCGATCCAATCCGCCTTCCCCGGCCTCCCCAACACACTCTTGATACGAAAAAAACCTCCCGCCATAGAGAAGAAAGAGATCTAAAGTCCGGTCCCCTCGATCACCCTTCCCTTGAACCGGAACTGGTCGAGAGAGATGAACCCGCACCACGTTTTATAACCTTCGAACCGAAACCCCCAACTAGAGATGGAATTCCAGAACCTAAACAACTCCGTTGAGAGCTCCGTGACCGGTTCAAGGGAAGGTCCACCAATGATTGATAGGCCCCCCCCTATACGTCTCTTGATCTCTCATTCCACTAATTCGTTGTTACTGATTCATTCAAGGCATAGACTCCCCACTTCTTTGTCTTATTAGCGCAGGTGCTCGTCAACGATGAAAGCCGCTGAGCTTAAGACTCGAGTTGAGAAAGAGGGCTAGGCCGGGGGGGCTTTCCGGGACTGGGGAAGACGGGTGGATTATAGAGCTAGGGGCGGATCGAAGGTTTGCCCGTTGGGATTGGGCATGGACGAGCCTCGACTGGGCCAGCGTTGATGAAAAAATGAAAAAAAAACTTCTCCCATCGCATCATTAACCGGTGTAGGATTAAAGATCAGGTCCAGGATTCGAGGCAAATCAACCTCCCCTCTCATCTCAGGGTGAGGCAAGGAATTCAATGTTCGTTGTTCAATATCTCGGCTGCTCAAGAAGTTGGACTAGCAGCTCCTCCGACCCGGAGTGGATTCTAGGGGAAGGGCAGAGCCTCACCTTGCAGTAGGAAGGTGGTCGTTGCTGGGACGGGTTCAAACAGGACTGAAGGGAGGATAAATTCAATACTCCGATCTTACTGGGGATTCATCACTGGCTAGGGCTTTCGAATCAAAGCATGGGCATCTGCAACTAAGAGGGAGCAGTAGATCGTCGATTGAAGAGCCAGGTCAGTAAACTTCTATTGATTATTGATTCGACTAGAGGGACTCCTAGCAACAAACTTGTATGAAGGGCCCCCCGTGGAGATGCAGGAGCCGCCAGCCGGATCGACCAATAAATGATAGGCCAGAGGGATGGGCTCATTCGACTAATTAGTGATCCCTGGCCCTACCTAACAAGGGGATGTCCCTGAAATAGGGGATCGGTTGATCGGAAAGCTCGGGCAATAAATAGTAGGACATTCCATAAAAAAATTTCTGATCCGCTAGCTGGTGGTCCTCTCAAATCCCATTTTTTCATCGGGGTGAATTCTAAGGTTCCTTATTCCGGTTGTAAAGTGGAAGAGGAGGGAGAATGGGCACAGCCCCACCAGCAGCCCGCGTTTTCGACCCGAAAGGAATTTAAAATTAAACAGGAATCTGTGTTCA